GACCTCAAAAAATTAACACAGCTACAACGCGGAAAATCGATGTTTCGTCCTCAAGGAAAACCTGGAAAAATTGGCAGCTTTGGACGCAATTTCCAGTTCCTGGAGTCTACTTTGAACGCGGCATAATGATACGTCATTAATGGCTTGAACTTCTAGCCAGGAACATCTGCAAGGAGACAGATAGAGAGTGTAGAAGAAAGACAGACGCAGAGATTAGGAAGTGGAGAATGGGGAGGAAAAATACGGGATTTTGGCCTAAAAATGGGATTTTCTCGCTATATTTCCCCGAAAAATGGTTTTTCTAGCTTAAAAATGGGATTTTCAGGCCTGGAATTTCAGAATTTTCTGATACTTTGATCGTTACAAACACACATAGAAAAAGTCGGGGCAATAAATTCCTCTGATCGCCGCGAAAAAGGCCATTTTTGAATGATATGAAATGACCTTTCTCTACAAAAAATTTTGCGATATGGTCAATAATTTTTTCTCGCCTTTATCGCTGTCTAGGTCAAACTTAATAGATGAAAAATGATTGAATTGTTTGCCGGAAAAACATTTGTTTATTCAAATAAAAAGAAGCATATAGAGAGAATGAGAGAAGTAGAGAAAATTGCATCATTATGCTATTTTTTGAAAATCTTCGAACAAATGAGTCACTTTGAAGGAGAAAAAAAAAGAGAACATTTGAAGAAAAATTCTTAAAATCGAAAAAGGTTCATGAAAAACGCTTTTTTCGGAATAAATTAAGAAAAAATCGAAGAAAACACTCGATTTTTCAAAAATTAATCAAATCGTGGCGAAGCCCAAGGCGGAAAAATCAGACATGTGCCTTTAAGTTACAGTAATCTTGCAATAATTTTTTTGGGAAAAATATAACATTTTCGAGGATCTCTTAACGAAATTTTGTTTTGAAACAATGAAAATTCAACTATTAGTTAGAAAAATTAGCTTCAAACACAAAAAAAGCTTTGAAATTGTGGTTTTTCGAAAATTTACACTTTTCCCAAAACTCAAAGAATAAAAAACCGGCATGCGCCTTTAAAGTACCGTAGTCTCCAATTATGACAATTTTAGCGATTTTTGGGGTCAAAATCCCATTTTCAGCGAGTTTTTATCGAAAAAAAAACGGGGAAATTGGAAAAAAAAGCATAAAAATAAAAAATGTTTGTTGTGTTTTTTAGGAAAAAAGCTAGTCGGAAAACATCTATTAGTCAGGAAAAGCGGGAAATATTTAGGAGAAAAAATAATAAATTCGGCGAAAAAAATTTTTTTGCTCAGATTTCTAGCCAGCTTTGTTGAAAAATGAGCTAATTTTCAAGAAAAAAACTCTAAAAATATGTTACCCAAAGAAGGTGGAATGCGATTTTTAGCCTCAAAAATACGATTTTTAGGCTTTAAAAAAAGCCCGAAAACTTCGTCAAAAACCCATTCTCCGCATCAACTGTTTAGTATAAACATATCTAGGCGCATCGCCGTCTTATCAGTTATCACCAAAAAAAGAGGCGCCGCCGAACATTTTTTTTTGAGCGAATCAAAAGACTAGACGTGTCCCTTTGATGATATTGTTTTCTCCTCTCTCTCATATCAATAAATCGGGGGAAACCCCTCAACCCCCCCCCCTTTCCCTCGTGACACATCTTCTATGGGAATGCCCGAACAGTGTTTTGATTGATGTGAAACCGACAAAAAATTTGAAAATTTTGTGATAAATGATAACTGATAGGTGAAAATCTATAGATGATGAAAAGCGGGAAGGGGGCGGAGCCTGAATGAACATTTCAAATTTTTAGTGATAAATATCTCGACTTACTAGGGAAGGTTGAAAAATGGGGTTGGAGTTTCGTGTCAAGACCTATATCATTCGAAATCTAAGAACACGTCCTTTCCGAATCCGTTTTCCAATTTAGCTGAGGAGGCATCAGTTTCGAGAAACATAAGTTTCAAATTTGGGTCAAACCTCCTCAGCAAAATTGGAAAACGGATTCGGAAAAGACGTGTTCTTAGCTTTTGAATGATATAGGTCTCGACGCGAAACCCCAACCCCATTTTTCAACCTTCCCTAGTTAGAATTGTCAGATTTGGGTCAAATTTATACACATCGGCGTAGAATTTTTCGGCGATTCTGGAAGTTCAGAACCTCCAAAAAAACCACGTCGATCTATATGGATTTGACCCAAAACTAACGATTCCGAGTTGGGATACTGTATTTTGAAAATTTTCGAATTTTCGTAATTTTCGTCATATGGTTTTTTCGCCAAATTTCGACTTTCCAGAATGTCCCAAAGATCCATATCGATGTGTATAATTTTGACCCGAAACTGACGATTCTGAGTCGAGAAATCAACAAAATTTTCAAAATTTTCAAAATAGGCTCCGCCCGCTTTTGGCTAAAAATTGCAGAAAAAAGAAGTTTCTCGACGAAGAAAAAATACCACAAGACTAAAAAAACCACCGTCACAGCGTCTAAAAAAAGATAAAAAGTTTAATTGGAGGGAGGTAAAAGTGGGCGGAGCTTAGAAAGTGGTAACTCGTAAAGAAGTATAAAATTGTTTCTGTTTCCAACGAAAACACAAAAAAATGGGGAAAAAGAGAAAAAGTGTAGTTTTAACACTTTTTTATTACTGTATCTCTCCAGTCAGTAGACTCTAACTGATAAGAAAAAAAGATATCATGTGGTTGTCGGGAAACCCCTTTCATTCCATTTTGTGAAAAAAAAACCGTTTTCTGATGTTTCGGAGGGTCACATTTTGACTTTTGACCCTTTTCGATACAAATGGCGCAGTGGGATTTTCAAATTGTACCAGGGTTCAATTCCCATTGGTGGCAATACATTTTTTTAGAATTTTTTTTTGGAAACTACAGTAACCAAAAACCGTATTTCGGTTACTTCACTTCGCAGTGAACCGGGAGATGGGTTACTGTAGATTTGGAGGTTCGCAAAGTTTCCAAGAAAATCGTACTGTAGCGGACGGACTTCGGTTACTGTATCATTCTTGTCGCTAGAGGGCAGGAATGCTACAGTAACCAAAAAAAATCGCGCTACGGTACGAAAATTCTTATGCTGAACATTTGAAAAATCGAAAAAATAAAAAATTTCGAGAAAATTGAACATTTTTGAAAAACAAAATTTCAGAAAAAACAGAAATTTTCGAAAAAATCAAAAAATAGAAATCTTTGAATTTTCCAGGTTACGGTAGGTTTTGGTCTCGGATTTTCAGATATTCCGAAAAATCAAAAATTTCTGAAAAATCGAAAAATTCTCAAATGANGACTCCGACCAAAAATTTTTATTGCATTAAAATGTGTTAAAAGTTATCTATTTTCCGAATATTATTGCGAAAAAATTCAAAAAAA